CACACACACACACACACACACACACACTAGATAAGCAAACAAAATAACCAGGCAAACTTTGAAAAAAGAAAAGCAAAGGCAACACACAGGGACTCGTTCTACCAGTTATTAGAATGTGAAGTTCTTTTTTTTTTTTTTTTGAGTCACCCAGGCTGGAGTGCAGTGCCATACTCACGGCCACCCCAGTGTTGACCTGCTGGGCTCTGGCGATCCTTCTGCCTAAGCCTTCCAAGTAGCTGGAACTACAGGCATGTGCTACCATGCCTGGCTAATTTTCTATTTATTGTAGACATGAGGTCTCGCCAAGTTGCTGGGGCTGGTCTCAAACCCGCAGGATCAGGCAGTTCACTCGCCTCAGCCTCCCAAAGTGCTGGGATTACAGGTTGAGCCACCAAGCCCAGCCTGAAGCCTTAGTATAGTTTGTTATGCGGGTATATGCATTTTTAAAAACTCAATTGAGGAGCATACCTCTTCATTCACTTTGGGCTTCTGTCTGGGACTGGAGTAAAAAGGAGATTGGTTAATAGACCTGAACAATCTATCAGCCAACTGACATTTATAGAATCCATCACCCAACAACAGCAGAAGTACACCTGGAACATTTAATAAGGTAGACCAAATTTTGGGCCTTGAGGCAAGTCTCAAAAAATTAAAAATTCCAAGTCATACAAAACATGACAATGGAATTAGAAGCCAAGACCAGAATGATAACTTGGAAAATTCCCAAATACTTAAAAACTAAATGGCATGCTGCTGAATAATCCATAAGGCAAAGAATAAAGAGGGGAAATTAGGAAATATTTTGAACTGAATGGAAATGAAAACACAACATATCAAAATTTATGAGGTAGAGTCAAAGTATTTCTTAGGAGAAAATTCTTTTTTTTGAGTTGGAGCCTCACTCTTGTTGCCCAGTCTGGAGTACAGTGGCACGCTCCCAGCCACTGCAGCCAGCGATCCGTCTGCCTCAGCCTTCCAAGTAGCCAGAACTATAGGTATGCGCTACCATGCCCGGCTAGTTTTTTATTTATTGTAGAGATGAGGTCTTACCAAGTTGCCCGGGTGAGTCTCGAACCTGTGGGCTCAGGCAATCCACTCACCTCGGCCTCCCAAAGTGCTGGGATTACAGGCTGAGCCACTGAGCCCAGCCAGGAGAAAATTCTTAATACCAAACGCCTGCATTAGAACAGAAAAGAGGTCTCAAATCACTGACCTCAGCTTCTACCTTATACGCAAAGAATAAATTAAATCTAAAGCAAGAAGAAAATAAAAACAGTCATAGTAGAAACCACAGAAGAGAAGAACAGGCACTGGCAGGTCAAGGCTGTCTTGTAAATAGTGACTGGCACAGACACACTCATGCATTCACACACTGCCTGAGCCACTTTGTGTGCTGCCACAACAGCACGGAGCAGCATGGGCAGAGATGTGGTCAACAAAGTCTTAAGATACAGAAAAAGTTTGTTGACTCCCCCCTGCCCCGCGCAGAATAAAAATAAACAGCAAAATAGAGAAAGTCAGTAAAACCAAAGGCTGGTTCTCTCAGAAGATTAATAAAACTGATACACCTCCAGACAGATAAAGATAAAAAAGAAAAAATTTACTAATATCAGAAATACAGACTGCAGTTTATAGATATGCAAGCATAAGACAATATTATGAGCAACTTACACCAGTAAATTTGATAACATAGATAAAATGGAGATGACATAAATTACCAAAGCTCATTCAACAAAAAATGGATAACCTGAATTGCTCTATTACAGAAACTGAAATTGTGATTAACCTTCCAAAAGAAACTCCCCCCAGCCCAGATGGCTTAAATATATGAATTCTACTAACATAATACCAAGTATATACAAACCTGTGAGAGAAATATATTTATTTATTTACTTATTTTTTCCATTTTCTTTTTTTTTTTTTTTGAGTCAGGGCCTTACTATTGTCACCCAGGCTGGAGTGCAGTGGCACGATCATGCTCACCACAGCCTCAACCTCCTGGGTTCAGCGATCCTACCTCAGTCTCCAGATTACCTAGGCTACAGGTACATGCTACCACGCCTGGCTAATTTTTATATTTTTTGTAGAGATGAGGTCTTGCTATGTTGCCCAGGCTGGTCTCAAACTCCCTGAGCTCAAGCAGTTCTCCTGCCTCAGCCTCCTAAAGTGCTAGGATTACAGGTGTGAGGCACCATGCCCAGTGTGAATGTATTTTATATATGTTTTCATCCATAGTTTCTGGTTCCCACAATCCTTGTTTTAGCTTTCTGTTATAATGTTGGGGCACTTTAGTCTTCAGAAAACAGAATCTCTCTCTCTCTGACCTCCTCTTGCCCTCTATCTGCTCCTTTTCTCAAGGCAAGAATCTTCCTCTGCCTTTCTTACTGCTATTAAGAAATTCTCCCACCTTCCTTATGTGATCAGAAGGGGTCCTGCCTCATACCCTGGAGAAAAGAATGCCAGAGAGAGACCAGGAAGAATCTGAACAGACAGGCCTTACTGGGTTTCCCCACTCTATTAGATCACATGCTTTTTGCCCGGAGACATTTCTACACAAGTGCCAATCATGCCTCTTCAATAACACCTCCATAAAAGACCTGCATTGCATCTGGAGAGCAGAGGGCTGTGCTAACTGTGGGATGTGGAACGTTGTGCCAGTCTAGTACCAGGCCTCTCCTTCCAGAAAACTAGCAGTTCCCACCCCCACTATCTTAACACTTGAGGACCCCAAGCTGCCCGCTGTTATCTGTAGAACTGCCTGTAGACCCTCAACCCACAGAACCAAGAGGGAACCAGGGATGTGGTTTGTTTCATAGGATTAAATAACTAAAAACACTGTCAAGGCATAGACGTACACACATCCTTCCACCATAAACCAGCATCATTTTTAGTTGCAAAATTATAGCAAGTCACATCTTACAGGTCACTATATGGTTAATACACCATGGCCAAGAATAGATTATCCTAGGAGCGCATGATACCTGAATAATAAAATTCTGAGCCGGGCTTGGTGGCTCAGCCTGTAATCCCGCGCGCCTTTGGGAGGTTGAGGTGAGTGGATTGCCTGAGTCTGCGGGTTCGAGACCCCCCTGGGCAGCGAGACCTCATCTCTACAATAAATCAAAAAATCAGCCGGGCATGGTAGTGCATGCCTGTAATTCCGGCTACTCGGAAGGCTGAGGCGGAAGGATCACTGGAGCCCAGCAGGTCGAGGCTGCAGTGGCCGGGAGCGGCCACTGCACTCCAGTCTGGGCGACAGAGTGAGACTCCAACTCATTAAAAATAATAATAATAAAATAAAATTCTATTTACATAATTCATAACATCAGAGAGTAAGCAAGCCACCACACGATCATCACTCAAGTTCCAAAAGCACACTTGGAACATCGTGTTTGCCAATAACCACTGTTGTGTTTGTTTTATTTACTTATTTATTTTGAGTTGGAGTCTCACTGTCACCCAGACTGGAGTGCAGTGGCTGCTCCTGGCCACCGCAGCCTCGACCTGCTGGGCTCTGGCGATCCTTCCGCCTCAGCCCTCCAAGTAGCTGGAACTACTTGGGCACTGCCACGCCCAGCTAGTTTTTGATTTTTATTGTAGAGATGAGGTTGTGCCAAGTTGCCCAGGTGGGTCTCGAACCTGCGGGCTCAGGCAATCCACTCACCTCAGCGTCCCAAAGGCGCGGGATTACAGGCAGAACCACCAAGCCCGGCTGTTGTGTTTGTTTTAAATGATGGAGCTTTCAAGTGGCACCAGGGGAGGCCACACATTTTGGTATTTTTTCTGGAGAAATATGGGACAGGAAGATCATGAAAGAGGACTGAGGCATGCCAGTCAAATCAGGAAGGAGAGAAGCCTGCAGTTACTGCTGCCAGTAGGCAAACACAATTCTGGGTTCTTGGGCAGTGATATCAATGTGAAAAAGAAATCCAGTTACTAAATTTTAGAATGTGGCCAAATCATCACAATTTGCAGCTTTCTTACATGTATGAACCAAAGTCAGTTAGAAAATGTAATAGAAAAAAGAATCCACTTCCAATAGTAACAAAAACTAGAAAACAGTTGGAAAAACAAAAGAAATAGAGTTGTGCTATGCCTTTGGGACCAGCTCATGGACTGTGGTGTTTAGCAAAGAAGGGAAACTCACCTTCACTTTTTACAATTGTATTTTTTCATCTTTTTTTTTTCTTTTTACTGCACATATATTATCTTTATAATAAGGGAAAATGATGCATATGTTTAAAATTCTAGCCACAATTTTAACTAGACAGCCAGTCAATATAAATTGATACCAACCTGACAATTTCAAAACTTCAGCTAGTATATATTCATTTCAAATAAGAACTGTACTTAGCCCGGCTACTTACTGTTTATCTGCAGAGATTTAGATGAAAAATCGATATGGCTGCAAAAACTACGGGGAGAAATTATCTTCAATAATAAAAATAACCTGTAGGCCAGGCTCAGTGGCTCAGCCTGTAATCCCAGCACTTTGAGAGGCCAAGGCGAGTGGATTGCCTGAGCCCGCAGGTTCAAGACCAGCCCTGGCAACTTAGCGAGACCTCATCTCTACAATAAAAACAAAAAATTAGCCGGGTGTGGTAGTACGTGCCTGTAGTTCCAGCTTCTTGGAAAGCTGAGGTGGAAGGATCGCCAGAGCCCAGCAGGTCAACACTGGGGTGCCTTCCAGCCTGGGCAACAGAGTAAGACTCTAACTCAAATAAACAAATAACTTGTAAAGGGCAGTCTACTGACCTAATCAGACCTATTAGAAAACACACAGGTCCACCTTCTAGGTAAACAGACATTACTTGATTTCTTGAGAATTCCTTATATAGAAATAAACTGCACACACAGCATATGCCAGGAACTGGTTTATCTGAACTTGTAAGTCAGAATGCTCTTTAAGATGACATGGCCAGCTAGTCTTGGAGAGGACTGGTGGGAGAGGCCACTGACTACAGGGCTAGATGAGGTCAGGCCTCTCTGACTCCTACTACTCACAGTCCAGTAGACAGTAAGAACTGCCCTCCACTCAGTCAACCAAGGCTTCATGTGATTTTTCAGTCAATGACGTCTTGGGGAAAACTGTACCAAGTTCCCCCTCTAGCCTCAGTGTCCATGTCCCTTTCCAAATAGTGATATTCCTACTACCCCCACAGTCTTGAACCAAACCAGTCACCATGCTGAAAATGGGCAAAATCCATCATGTCATTCCTTCCCAAATACAAGTTTACTATGTCACTAAACATTAAATAAAGTGAAATTTTCTATAGACCATCATCTTCACCTGCCCATGTGATTTCGAACCATGTATTCCAGAAATCTGGCCCCTTGGCTTATGCAATCAATATGCAGGACCAAAAACAATACAAGATGCAAGAATCTACCGTCTTCCTGTACAGCCACATGACTCTCATTATTTAAAAGATTCAGATACAATAATGTTTACTCGCATTTAAAAATACATTGTAGTAACTGTAGGATGTAGGAATGTTATAATTCTAGATACAGTTTATATACAAAAAGGAGTAAGAAGAATAGCATATCACACTTTTAAAAAGTCCTTAATACTTAGCAAGTAAACTTAGCCAAGTATTCTGGTTATCTTAAAAACTGTCACTTTTAAACTCAAACAGGGAGAGGGAGGGTGGAGAAGGCGAGTGTAGATGATTCTGTGAGTTAGGCCAAGTCTGGCAGTGCCTTGGTGCAATCACGACAGGATATGCTCCAGAACGCCTTGTCTGATCAGCTGTTCACACTTCCACCGAGGTAAAAAGTGCTGAGGAGAAAAGGGAGCGGGGAAGAGTAAGAGAATTGGAAAAGAATTTGAAATTACTTTTTGTGTCATTAAGAAGCAGCAATGGCCAGGTGCGGTGGCTCATGTCTATAATCCCAGCATTTTGGGAGGCCAAGAGAGGACTGCCTGAGCCCAGGGGTTCGAGACCAGTCTGGGCAACTTGACAAGACCTCATCTCTACAATAAATAAAAAAATTAGCTGGTCTTGGTGGCACGTGCCTGTAGTTCCAGCTACTTGGAAGGCTGAGGCAGAAGGATTTCCTGAGTCCAGTAGGACGAGGCTGTGGTGGCTGTGAGTGTGCCACTACACTCCAGTCTGGGTGACAGAGTGAGATTCACCCCAAAAAAGGAAAGAAAATGTTTTCCCTTTTTTGTTTTTGAGTTGGAGTTTCACGCTGTCGCCCAGACTGGAGTGCAATGGCATGCTCCCGGCCACCGCAGCCGTGACTTGCTGGGCTCCGGCGATCCTTCGCCTCGGCCTTCCAAGTAGCTGGAACTACAGGCGAGCGCTACCACGCCCAGCTAATTTTTTTGATTTATTGTAGAGATGAGGTCTCGTCAAGTTGGCCAGGCAGGTCTCGAGCCCGTGGGCTCAGGCAATCCACTCACCTTGGCCTCCCAAAGCGTGGGATTACAGGTTGAGTCACCAAGCCCGGCTGCCTTCTGTCTTACGTTACATGAATGATCTACACCACAGCTTCTATAGAAAACTGATTTAGAGGTGGCTGGATATTAAAAGCCCTTTAATATCAACTATGGTTGACTATGTCATAGCTGAGAGACAAAGTTAAAAACATCACCAAGAGGAAGGTTTCCGTATGGTCCACAGTGAAGATGGCAAGGGTCCAGCCCAGGAGCAAATGCACAGGGACCACAGCATACTGGGGGGCAGACCAGTCACTACACTTGAGAAATGCCACTGCAGGATAGTGTTTGGGATGAAGGGGCATTTCACATGTCCTGCTTTACGAGGATTGTTTTGTTCTTATGAACCACAGCTTCTTCCTGGGTCCTCCAGCAATACAGATTCTTGTGCATTAATTCATCATCTGCCCTTTCTTTTTTTTTTTTGAGTAGGAGTCTCACTCTGTCGCCCAGACTGGAGTGCAGTGGCCGCTCCTGGCCACCGCAGCCTTGACCTGCTGGACTCCGGCGATCCTTCCACCTCAGCCTTCCAAGTAGCTGGAATTACAGGCATGCGCTACCACATCCAGCTGATTTTTTGATTTATTGTAGAGATGAGGTCTTGCTGCCCAGGCGGGTCTCGAACCCGCGGGCTCAGGCAATCCACTCACCTCAGCCTCCCAAAGGCACGGGATTACAGGCTGAGCCACCGAGCCCAGCTCATCTGCCCTTTCTATTCATGAGTATTCCGCTTCTAAGAAAAAACATGAACTGCATTGTTGTCTTAACAACCACATACTTTAGGGTATCCTCAAAATCTGTTTTAATAATATTCAGCCTTTGGCCCAGTGTGGTGGCGTGAGCCTGTAGCCACAGCTACTCAGGATGTTGAGGCAGGAGGATCACTTGAGCTCAGGAATTAGAGGCTGCAGTGACCTGTGATTGTGCCACTACGCTCCAGCTGGGGCAACAGAGCCAGACTCTGTCTCATGAATGAATGTATAAATAAGTAACATATACAACCTTTATTTTAGAAAACTAGTTAATGCTTCAAGGGTACTAGTAAAATAAGAGATCAACTCACGCTCTGTTAGGGAAATAAGCCAAGAACCACATGAGCTGAAGCACTGTTTTGCTCTTGGCATAAACAAGGTCCGACCATTGGTTTAGGGTCATCAGATATTAACTGGGTGACTCAAATGTCAGGCAAGGAAAGACAGTGACTTTTATCAGGTCATTTTTCATCATGTACTGCGACTTTAGAAAAATTGAGATAGGATAAAAATAAATTTAGCTAATATGAATTCATCTAATGTGAATTTAAGCATTCCTAAAGAAACAATATATTGAGATTCTTTTTTTGTTTGTTTGCTTTTTGAGTTGGAGTCTCACTCTGTCCCCCAGACTGGAATGCAGTGGCACACTCACAGCCACCGTAGCCTCGACCTCTGGGCTTAGGCAATCCTTCTATCTCAGCCTTCCAAGTAGCTGGAACTACAGGCATGCACCACCATGCCCAGCTAATTTCTGGTTTATTGTAGAGATGAGGTCTCGCCAAGTTGCCCAGGCTGGTCTTGAACCCCTAGACTCAGGCAGTCCTCTCACTTTTGCCTCCCAAAGTGCTGGGATTATAGGTGTGAGCCACCATGCCTGCCTGAGAGTCTTTATAAGGAAAGATTTAACTTAAGTCACAACTTTACAATTTTATTCTTTCCCAATTAAAATGGTTATGTTTGCATATTAAATATTTAAAAATTTTTACCTATATCACTATTTGCTTGCTAAAGAACTAGGATTTATAAGGTGAAGTATGAGCTAAAATAAGTGCTTAGCAATCTTTTAATAAATTATAATTTGAAGAAAGGAGCTGAATCCAACAGCCTAACGGCCCCTGGATAATGATCTAAGCCTTAACTAGAATAAAGCCTATTATGATGATATCCCTAGAAAATGCTTATTGTTAAATATAAGTAATATCCTAGTAAGTTAATTAACTTGTTATTATAGGCAACATTTGCTTCAAGTCTTAGTATTCAGAACAAGTACAGAACAGAGGTTATTATACTACACTTAGTGCCCAAGGATCATCACAAGCTGACATTTAGTCTGCTATTAATTCCAACATTTCCACCATTCACTCTTCTCACAGGATTTAAGGTAAAGGAGCTGAAGACAAGAGTTACCTGGCTATTTTTTTTTAGTAAGACTGAAGTGCCATCATCAACTTCAAATTCTCCATAGTCTTTTAGACACCGAACCTGAAAGGAAAAACTGACACTGTAAATTATGTTTTTCATATATAGTGACCAAAAAGTAAATACGCATTATGTAAATACCCAACACCTAAATGTAAAATGTAAACCAACAAAAACCTTATAATAAAAACAGGTTACAAACTTTACAACACTGCATTTAGCAATGATTCCTGAAATAGTTGACACCAAGCACACAGCCAAAAAAAGAAAAAAATAGACAATGTGGATTGTGAAAATTTTATATTTTTGTGTTCCAAAGATACTTATCAACAGTATCAAAAAGCAATCCAGAGAATGGAAGAAAATATTTACAAATCATTTATCTAATAAGAAATTAATATCTAGTCTGGTTGTGGATATTACAGGCTCACGCTGCAATCCCAGCACTTTGGGAGTCTGAAGTGAGAGGACTGCTTGAACCCAGGAGTTCAAGACCAGCTTGGGCAACATAGCAAGACCTCATCTCTAAAAAGTAAATAAATAAAAAGAAATTAATATCCAGACTATATAGAGAATTTCTAAAACTCCACAACATAAAACCAAAATCTATTTTAAAACGGGCAAAATACCTGAATGGACATTTTCCCAAAGCAGTCACAGAAATAGCTAATAAACATATGAAAAGATGCTCAACATCACTAATCACTAGGGAAATGTAAGTCAAAGCCACAAGATATTTTACACTTTAGGTTGGCTATGATTAAAAAAAAAGAAGGGGAAAAAAAAAACAAGAAAAACAGTAAGTGTTGGTGAGGATTTGGAAAAATCGGAACACTTGTGCACTATTAGTGGGAATGTAAAATGGTACATAGCTGCTGTGGAAAACAGTATGGTGGTTCCTCAAAATTTAAACATAGTATTACCACATGATCCAGCAATTTCACTCGGGATATATACCCAAATGAACTGAAAGCAGGGTCCTGGTACACTTGTCAAAAGTTATTTGGCCAGGCATGGTGGTTCAGCCTGTAATCACAGCACTTTGGGAGGCTGAGGCAAAAGGATTACCTCATCTTGGGGGTTTGAGACCAGCCTGGGCAACCTGGTAAGATCTCATCTCTACAATAAATCACAAAAACTAGTCAGGCGTGGTGGCGCGTGTCTGTAGTTCCAGCGACTTGGAAGGCTGAGGCAGAAGGATCACCTAAGCTCAGCAGGTTGAGGCTGCAGTGGCCGTGAGCATGCTGTTGCACTCCAACCTGGGTGAATGAGACTCCGACTCAAAAAAAAAGTCATCTAACCAGTTGGGTGCAGTGGCTCATGCCTGTAATCCCAGCACTTTGGAAGGCAGAGGCAAGAGGATTGCCTGAGTCCAGGAATTCGAGACCAGCCAGGGCAACTTGGCAAGACATCATCCCTACAATAAATCAAAAAGTTAGCTGTGTGTGGTGATGTGTGCCTATAGTTCCAGCTACTTGGAAGGCTGTGGTGGAAGGATTGCCTGAGTCCAGCAGGCTGAGGCTGCAATTGCTGTGAGCATGCCATTGCACTCCAGCCTGGACGACAGAGTGAAACTCCTACTTAAAAAACAAAAAAAGCAGTTTAACCATATATGCGAGGTTTCTGTCTGAGCATTTTACCCTGTTCCATTTTTCTATATGTTTGTATATTCATGTGCACAGCAGTATTAATTACAACAGCCAAAACAGGGAAGCATCCCAAGTATCAACTGATGGATGAACGGATAAGCAAAATGTGGTACAGCCATACAAAGGAGTATTACTCAGCCTTAAAAAGGAAGGAAATTCTTACACATGCCACCACATGGACATTATGCTGAGTGAAATAAGCCAATCACAAAAAGTCAAATACGGTCTAATTCCATTTTTATGAGGTACTTCTACCAACCTGAAAGACAGGTTCATTTGTTTCATTTTGCTTTCAAAATTAGGGACTGGTTTCCTATGTGACTTAATTTTGTAGTCAAAATCAAAGAGACAGAAAGTAGAATGGTGGTTGCCAAGGGCTGGGGGAAGGGAGGATTGGGGAGTTATTGTTGAATGGGTATAGAGTTTCAGTTTTGTAAGATGAAAAAGTTCTGGAGAAGAATGGTGGTGATGGCTGTACAACATTAAGTGTTTAATAGCACTGGACTGTACACTTAAAAATAGTTAAGATGGTAAATTTTATATTATGTGATTTTTACAATTTGAAAAATAGAAACAAGTAAACAAAACAAAAACAAATTCCTACTTGAATTAGTTTGCTTCATTTTGTTTCAAAATTAGGGACGGTTATCCATTCTGATTTAATTTTATTTCAGTAATAGATAAAACATTTACATGATTCAAAAGCCAAAACTATGAAAACAAGTATATTCAGAAAATTTTTGCTAGTCTATCTTATTCTGTCATCCTCCATGGGTAGCTTGCTTTGGTTTTGGTTCATGCTTCCTTTGTTTTTAAATAAAAGCTAATATATGTTCATTTACTCACCTCTTCTTAAAAGGCAGCACAATCTACACATTAAAAAAAAGCATTTTGAAAAGGTATACATACTTCAATATATAGGCTTTTTGGAGGTTTCATATCTTGTGTAATGTCCAAACCTTCTTCTCCTCCCAATGACCTCATATAAGTAGCAAGAGACTTTTTATATTGGTTGAACCACTCCATCTGCAAAGAGATTTGACAGCGTTCAAAGAAAATGTGCACAAATTGTATACTCATTCTTTCAAAAACACTACACACTTCCATACTTAATCATAAACCTAAGGAGCACTTGCCTAGAAACAGAAAGATGAAAAAGATACCATTTTAGAGTTATGATCTGTTTAAAGTTTACACTTTAAACTATTTCTGAAAACCATAAAACACTGTTAAGGATACAACCCAAATGTCCATTAACTGATCAATGGGCAAGATTATGTGCCCACACAATAGAACATTCAGTACTCAGCCATAAATAGGAATGAAGTTCTGATACCTATTACCACATAGATGAACTTCAGGTAATACTATGCTAAGTGAAAGAGACAAAGGGTCACATATTTCATGGTTCTACTCATTTGAAAAACCTATTAACAGGTAAATCAATAGAGACAGAAAGCAGAACAGTGATTTCCAGAAGATGAGAGGAGGGGAGAGAATGCAGTTATTGTAAAGTGTATAGGGTTTCTTTTTGGGGTGATAAAAGTGTTCTGGAATAAGATGATGGTAATGGATGCACTACTCTGTGAATATACTGAAAACCACTGATTTGTATATTTTTAAATGGTAAACTTCATAGCATATGAATTACAACCTAGTACATCTTTTTTTTTTGAGTTGGAGTCTCACTCTGTCACCCAGACTGGAGTGCAGTGGCACGCTCCCGGCCACCGGAGCCTCGACCTGCTGGCCTCTGGCGATCCTTTCGTCTCAGCCTTCCGAGTAGCTGGAAGTACAGGCACACGCTACCACGCCCGGCTCATTTTGATTTATTGTAGAGATGAAGTCTCACCAAGTTGCCCAGGTGGGTCTCGAACCCGAGGGCTCAGGCAATCCACTTGCCTCAGCTTCCCAAATGCGCAGGATTACAGGCTGAGCTACCGAGCCCGGCTAATTTTTAAAAAACTCCTAAATACATAGAGGGATATACCACTTTCACAGGTTGGGTGATTCAATATTGTAATAATGTCAACTGTTTCTATATGAATCTATAGAATGAACTGAATCGTTCATTCTCAATGAAAATTTTAACTTTTCCTTAAAAAATGGAACTCAACAAATTGAGTCTTAAAATTTACATGGATGTGCAAAGGGCCAAAAACAATTGAAACACTCTTGAAAAACAACATGATGCAAACTTGCTCAAGATATTTGTAAAATGACAGTAATGACAACAGTGGAAGTGGTACAAGGACAGACAGACTAGCAGAACAGAAGAGACAGAAGATGAAGTCCTCGCATCCAAAATGCACAGAAATACTAACACTCAATTTATGACGAAGGTGGCACCAGTGTGCAGTGATGGGGAAAGGAGAATCTTTTCAGTAAGTGGCACTGGGTCACTTCATCATCCAAATTCAAAATGAAATGTGACTCCTACAGTATACAGGGGAAAAAAAAAAAAAATCAATCCCACTACTGTAAATCTCTTTATGAAAGCTAATATATAGCTCCCAAAAGATAACATAGAAAGATATCTTAGTAACTTTGGGGGAAGGCAATGACATTTTAATTGAACAAAAAAAGCAAAACAAAAAACCCAATTAATAATAATCCAGAACTTTTGTCTATTACAGGATGCTATTACAAAAATGAAAAGTCAAAAACCACAATGGTACAGAAAATATATGCAGTATTCCTGACAAAAGAAATAATCAGAACACAAAAAACAAATCCTGGGCCGGGTGCAGTGGCTCAAGCCTATGATCCTAGCACTTTAGGAGGCCGAGACAAGAGAACTGCCTAAACTCAGGGTTCAAGACCAGCCTGGACAATTTGGTGAGACCACATCAGGACAATTTTGAGAATGAAAAGAGGTAATATTAATAATTACATAGGGATAACAAGCATTAAACTAGGATACATGGCCCCTCTGCCAGAAGTTCCCCTCCCAGGTATATACTAGAAAGTACATTTATTACCATATTACAGGAATGTTCATAACAGCATTATTCATCACTGTCAAAAGCTAGAAACAACAACAGGCTGGGCTTGGTGGCTCACACTGTAATCCCAGCACTTTGGGAGGCCAAGGCAAGTCGACTGCCTGAGCCTGTGGGTTCAAAACTAGCCCAGGCAACTTCATGAGATCTTGGCTCTACCAAAAAAAAAAAAGCTGGGTGTGGCAGTGCATGCCTGTAGTTCTGGCTACTTGGAAGGCTGAGGTGGAAGGCAACTTAACTCCAGCCTTGGCGATGGAGTAAGACTCCAACTCAAAAAATAAACAAAAAAAACCTCTAAACAATTACAGTCCCTAATCAGAATGAAATACTATGAAGCAGTGAAAAAAAATTAATTACAGCTAATACAGCAACAGAGTGGAATCTGGAAAATATCATGCTTAGTGAAAGATGTCAGCCAATAAAGAATACTATATGAATCTGTTTATATAAAGTTTAAAAACCGAGCACACTAAATTATAGCATTTAGGGATGCATACATAAAATAATAATGCTTTAAAAATCAAGGAAGTGATTAGTTTACACAAAATTTAGGTGAGTAGAGACTACTGGGAGGAGGGACACAGCTTTGGAGCGATGTCTTCTTTCTTGAACAGGATGATGGATATGTGGGACTTCCGCAGTGACAGAGTAATAGGATGTACATCTTTGTTTTGTGCACTTTTTGTGTGTGCCTGTATGTCTACATATATGTTAAATTTCACAAAGCAAATGGTTACATTGAGGGATCACAAAAGATTCAAGATTGGGTGTGGTGGTTCACATATATAATCCCAGTACTTTGGCAAGCTGATTCCAACACTTGGGAAGCTAGGGCAACAGGGTAGCTTAAGCCCAGGAGTTCAAGACCAGCCTGGGAAACGGAGCAAGACCCTATCTCCACAAAAAAATAAAAAAAGATTCAAAAGAGTTCAAAAAGGATGTATCCCAGGGGATACAAAACTGCATTGCATTTTTTAATAACAAAAGATTTAAAAATTATCTCTCGTGTTAGTGATATAAGATTCTATAATTAAAAAGAAATTAGGAAATTAAAAAAATAGCATTAAAGAAAACATAAGATTTTACTAATTTGTAATTAGATATTGAGGAGATTTTTGCATGCTATCCGTATATCCACTTTAATATTCTTCCAACCCTGGTTTCGCTAAACATTATTAAAGCACATTCATATGTTTAATGTTGGAACCTTATTTTAGCTCTGTTTTTTACTTTTATTACTACACCGAGTCAACAACATTGAGATCATCAATCCATTAATATTTCTTAAAAGCTTACTGTGTACCAGGAATTTTCTAGAATTGTAACAAGCAATATTTAATTTTTGCCTTGTATTTGTGCATGATATAAGTACTATAATAATTTCCTTTTTAATGATGAGGAACTGAAGCTTCAAGAGGTTAGGTAATTTACCACAGGGTTCAGTGATAATAATTAACAAGGTGGGGGCAGGATGTGGTGGTTCACACCTGTAATCCCAGCACTTTGGGAGGCTGAGGTGGGAAGATTGCTTGAGTCCAAAAGTTTGAGACCAATCTAGGCAACATAGCAAGACTTCTACAAAAAATAAAAAAATTAACCAGGTGTGATATCACATGCCTATAGTTCCAGCTACCCAGGAAGCTGAGGTGGAAGGATTGTCAAGGATGTAGTAAGCTGTGATCATGCTACTGCACTCCAGCCTGGGAGACAGAGTAAGACCCAAACTCAAAAAATAAAGAAATGAAATGAAATGAAAGGTGGGGATCTGAGCCCAGGTGGCAGATTCGCACCCACGGTGTCACCACTGAAGCTCTATCCCTGGGTAACACAGATACCCATGATAACACCTAAACCTGATGGGCTTCTGTCAGGGATACCTGGAAATATTCTTTGTTACTGGTCCAAAACGGTTGATGCGGTTGCCCTAGGTCACTGCACAGGCAGAGATGTCTACAGTCTGGTACAGAGTGTACCTATATTAATCCCTTGTTGTCATCCTTGAGTTTTCCCAAAACATCACTATTGAGAGAAAGAGGCCAAGCATATTCCTTTTTATAGATGAGGATACTAGGTAGAAGGAAGTCATTTTCCAGTTTCATAGTAATTCATGAACTCTTCCAAGAAACCATCTCAGGTTTTACCACTCTCAAACAACTTAATCTCTAGATTCATTAATATTCTCTTATTTGCTGTTCATATAGTTATATTTGATCAAAATAGGAACTGACTGCATTAGCTCAATAATCACAGGAAAGTGCAATTCTTAGAGAAACAATGAGAAATCTAATAGATATACTTGAATAAATGTACAGCTTGCAATCATTTACAAAATTATAAGAAACATAGTAACTTAAAATATTATGAGAAAAATCACTAAAGCTGTTGTTATTAGATAAGCAACATAGTGTTCTGTTCTTTTCACCGCTATATACAAGTATACCAAACTAATATAGGTAGATTTGAGCACAAAGAGCATGGAAATAAACTGAAAAGTTTATGTTACCATTTATTTATCCAGTAAACAGAATGAAAACAACATTAAAGTTAGTAGCAAATAGATCAGCTCTTTCAAAAAAGCTCAAGAGCTAGGTAAACACACTGAATGTTTGCTTAAGCTCTGTGTGATGCTGCTCTAACATAACAATTGCTGGCACTTACTGTGTGTCATCCTATGCTGTATTCTACATGGATCACCAGAAATAAACCTGTGATAAGTCCTGTCATAACCCCACTGTAGAATAAAAAACTTGGCTGGTCTTTGTCCCATTCCCAGGAGGCAGCTTCTAATCCTTGGACTTTATCAAATGATAGAAGTGTCTTGTTATTCGTGGTGGGCCCTGATACCGTGTGCTACTGGGGTGACTCACAGTGGGCCCCCAGATGATTTGTGATAACAAGATGATTCAGAGTAGGAACTGGCCACCCCCGAAAGACTAAGGGATGAAGACTGAACTCAATCACAGGGCCAGTGATTTATCAATCATGTTTATGTAATGAAACCCCAATAAAAACTCTGGACATCAAAGCTTTTTTTTGTTTTGTTTTGTTTTTTGTTTTTTGAGTCGGAGTCTCACTCTGTCGCCCAGACTGGAATGCAGTGGCTGCTCCCAGCCACCGCAGCCTCGACCTGCTGGGCTCCGGCGATCCTTCCACCTCAGCCGTCCAAGTAGCTGGAACTACAGGCGCGCACTACCACGCCCAGCTAATTTTTTGATTTATTGTAGAGATGAAGTCTCGTCAAGTTGCCCAGGCGGGTCTCGAACCCGCGGGCGCAGGCAATCCACTCACCTCAGCCTCCGAAAGGCACGGGATTACAGGCTGAGCCACCAAGCCCGGCTGTCATCAAAGCTTTTGTGAGCTTCCCTGGTTGACAATACTCTGTGTATATTGTTACATGTAAATGTACCAGGATAGTGATGTGTCTTGATCCCACAGAGAAAGAATACCAGAAGCTTCAAGGTTGGGATCTTACCCTATGAGTCTCTTCTTTTGGCTGGTTCTGATTTTTATCTTTTGTGTTATAATAAAACTGTAATTTTAGGTGTAGTGCTTTCCTGAGTTCTATGAGTCATTCTAGTGAATTATTGAACCTAGGAGAACAGAGGGACCTCGAAACTTGTGGCTGGTGTCTGAAGGAGGACAGCCTTGTATGCAGCTGTGCACTTAACCTGTGATGTCTGGCCTAACTGCTGACAGTGTCAGAAGTCACTGCAACTATAGTAGGTAGGTGCTATGATCCTCATTTTATAAATAAGGAAATTTAGGCACAAAGAGAGGTCAAGTTACCTGATCACAATTAGTCAGTGGAGAGCCCAGATTTGAACCCAAATCTGCATGATGTCATTCCTATGTCCTTAAATACTATGCCTCAGTGACTGGACAAATCAAGCTTCATTAGAAATGACTGCACAAATAAAGAGTTTCATTACAAATATGAATTAGACACTTTTCATGAAAAATCCCCAAATAGTCGGGTGCAGTGGCTCACTCTTATAATCCCAGCAGTTTAGGAGGTAGAGGCGAGAGGACAGCCTGAGCCCCAGGGCTCAAGACCAGCCTGGAAAACTTGGCAAGACCTCGTCTCTACAATAAATTAAAAAATAGCAGGGTATGGTGGTACAAGCCTGTAGTTCCAGCTACTTGGAAGGCTGAGGCAGAAGGATTGCCTGAGGCCAGCAGATCAAGGCTGCAGCAGCCATGAGTGTGCCACTGTACTCCAGCCTGGGTGACAGAGTTAAACTTGAACTAAAAAAAAAAAAATCCCCAAATAAAAATGGCAGTTTTTTAAATCCCACTGATGGATCACTAGTAAGTAATATAAGAGGACTCTATGTTATTAAAAAATAGTTTTCCCCATAGCATTAGAATTATTCTCCCCCCCATATACTTCCCATCACATTATATAATACATAAGTGCAGGCCAAAAGTTGCTCATAAACAGAAAAATGAAGAGAGAAATACCAATAAACAGAAAAATGAAGAGAAAAATACCAACAAATACTATTATAGAACAATGTCAGAACCTCAGCATTTTCCAAGTTCATCAACTTGAAAACAATACAAACTTACTTCTTCAGAAGACATGTGAAATCGCAATGAACTTGGCAAGACGCTGCCGTATTCCCACCTGAGCGCTCTGATCCGAAGCAAGCGGTCATACCTAGGACACGAAGATAGTATTAGGTGGCACAAGAAGTGGTGCTGATGAGGACAGACTCACTAAATGTCATGTGAGGGCTTCCCTTGGCTCCTGATGCAAACGAGCCAACGGTAAGCAGACACCTTTGGGACCAGGCAGAAAACATGGACATGTACTGAAGAGCTGGCCTAAAGGCACTGTCCACTCCTCCAGATGTGAGAGCAGCACAGTGGTCCTGTGGGGAAAGGTCCCAAAGGTTCTATTTTTTAGAGAAGTAAAAAAGTACTAGAAACACTATGGTATTCAGTGGTGAAGTGCCCCAATACTCTAAATTAGTATGGCATAAAACAAAGAAGATATGATGAAAAAAATATGGCAAAACAATAAAAACTGTTAAACCTATATGATGACTCCATGGGGTTTTGGTAAAGTACTGTTCTCCCTACTTTTATGAATGTTGCAATTTTTCATAATAAAGTTTTAAAAATGGAAAAAGAAAAAGTTAGAACGCTTATTTTAATAAGTATTTTAAGAGAGAGACAAATCTAAGATTTCCTATTATCTATTTGAAATGGTTAAGAGGGAAATCCTCCAACACTGGTGGTCACCCCAGCAAAAACTGAGAAGCTTACAGGTATGCTATAGTGCAGCGTCGATTTCTCAACAAAGAACAGTGTCGAAATTTGATGGTTGGTATCAAATCACTTCGCCCAGCTGACTTAGCTTCATTCCTGATAAGAGCATTTAATGAGAAAAAAAACCCAAATATGTAAAATTTCAGTTAAGTAAAATTTTCAAAGCCAACTAACAACTGACTTACATGCTTGTCTTCATCCGTTTATTATTAGCAGTTAACTTAAGCAAACAGTAGTTATTGACACATCAGAGCTTTTATTAATATTAAAAACTTAATAACTTGCCTAAGATCACAACTATCAGATGCATTTTGTTTAGTCATTTGGTACTTTGCACACTGATTAATTCCTACTACTTCTTTCTTTCTTTTTTTTTGAGTTAAGAATCTCATGCTGTTGGTCAGGCTGAAGTGAGTAGCATGATCACAGCTCACCGTACCCTCAAACTCCTTGGTTCAGGCAATCCTTCTGCCTCAGCCTCCTAAGTAGCTAGGACTACAGGTGTATGCCACCACACCCAGCTATTTTTTAATTTTTTTGTAGAGATTAAGTCTTGCTTTGTTGCCTAGGTTGATCTCAAACTCCTGGCCTCAAGCAATCCTCCTGCCTCAGCCTCCCAAAGTGCTGGGATTATAGGTATGAGCCACCATGCCCAATCTCTATAATTTCTAAAAGACAAACATTGTATTACTCATTTTTTAGGATTCCCTTATCATGCTAAGATAAAAGACAAACATAACACGATGATTCCTGAGGTTATGGTCTTATGCCATGTTGTTATTCTATGTGGTACTTCTTTTCAGTGATACTTCCAAATCCACATTAAAGTCCGCTAAAATGGAATCAAAATGGTCTTCCACTCATCTAACAAATATTTGTTGTTCTTCATCTATATATATGTACTGTACTTTAATGTCTTCACAGAGAGGGAGAAAATTCTGGTTTTATCCTGTAAAAATTACAAGTCCTTAAATATTAGATAATTATCACATTTTCAAACCAAACGTACAGAATGAAAAAGAATCTACTTTGGAGTGTTTTGTGTTTTTTTTGAGTTGGAGTCTCATTCCGTCACCCAGGCTGGAGTGTAGTGGTAAGCTCATGGTCACCCATGCTGGGCTCAGTCAATCCTTCCGCCTCAGCCTTCCAAGTAGCTAGAACTACAGCCCCGAGCTACCACACCCATCTAATTTTTTGTTTTATTGTAGAGATAAGGTCTCACCAAGTTGCCCAGGCTGTTCTCGAACCCATGGACTCAGGTAACCCTCTCACCTCGGCCTCCCAAAGTTCTGGGACCACAGGCTTGAGTCACCGCACCCAGCCATTACATAGGAGTTTTTAAAGGAACCAGATGAATACGAAAATTTCGTATTCATTTCATTTCAGGAATGCCTGCTCCATACCAGGCACTACACTAGGTCCTGACAACACAGCAAAATCCTGTCATGCTTTCCAGATCTGTTCTGTACACTCTGTCATTCTACAAAAGTCATATCTATTCTCCACATTGTTCACAATGTGCTCTGAACTATAAGGAAAGAGTACAAGAAAAATACTCTCAATCTAAACCAGAGCACCTTATTAAGTAAATAAGGACTTCCTAACAATTTCAGTTATGCATAAGCAATTAAAAAAGAACAGGTTTATTTATTAATTTATTTTTTGAGTTGGAGTCTCCCTCTGTCACCCAGACTGGAGTGCAGTGGCACACTCCTGGCCACCACAACCTTGACTTTTTAGGTTCCAGTGATCCTTCCACCTCAGACTTCCAAGTAGCCGGAACTATAGGCACACACTACCATGCCCGGCTAATTTTTTATTTATTGTAGAGACCAGGTCTCACCAAATTGCCTGGGTTGGTCTTGTACCCACGGGCTTAGACAATCCACTTGCTTCGGCCTCCCAAAGTGCAGGGATTACAGGCTGAGCCACCGAGCCCAGCCTAGAGCAGGTTTCTTTTCGCAAATAATTTTAATCAGAAACATAACAATGATTGCCTCCCCAGAAGGAAACCAGGGGCATGAAGGACAGAATCCTGGATCATGAGTTTGCAAATGGTACTAATACAGGGAACACAGAGGTCATTCCCTACTAGGCCACAGACTGTCAGGCCACCTCCAAAGCATGTCTTTAACCTGTTCACTTTTTACCTGATCTGCGTCACCTGTCTGGTCACCTGGATGACCAGAGTTCCTCTCCTCTTAGTTCCTCCAGTCTACTGTGCACACAGCAGCCAGGATGTTCTTTTAAGGCACAGACATTCTGTCACCCATCCCACGCTCACATCTTACCTGGGATTACCCTTTGCCACTTTCTAAGCTTCAGCACAGTGGTCTCTTTTAATTGTCAGTTTCCTGAGGACTCTACTCTCTTCCATGACTCAGGACCTTTGCATAAGTTGTCCCTTCTGCCCAAAATGCTCTCTGCCCACAATGACTATCCTTTGGGCCACAGCTGAAATATCTCTTCCTTAGAGATAACTTCTCTGATTCCTCAATCCAAGGTGAATCTTTAACTCGTTTTTCTCTCTCCTAGCAGTCTGTTGTTTTTCTCCATAGCATGTATCACAATCTGCAGGATCTATATTTAATATCTGTCCTCTGCATTAGACTGTGAGGGCCACAGGGACAGGAATCTTGACTGTGTTGTTTACCATTGAAATACCAGAGCCACTTATCAGTACTTATTTATTTAGTATATATTTGTTGAATGAATCAATGAATGGCTTGAAGACTTAAGTCTGGGACTTTATGTTTGCCTTACATTTACTGCAAACCTGCTGAGCTTCAGTTCCTCATTCCACTCGTAAAGATTTTTCTGTTAGAAAAGGCTCTTATTTTGTATGCCCCACAAATCTTATCAGCAAAATACTGACTTGTATATCCAAGTAACTAATAAAAACACTTAACAAGGCCAAGGAGGAAACCTCACATTACAGAGATAAGACTTATCTCTAGGTTATCCTGAATACTTCAACTTTGATCCAGTACTTGGCTCCCTTTCGTGTCTTACTCTTCACCAAGTCATAGGAATGCATGAAGTTTGTTACACAGCTTAAATTTCCCACTGTGCCAACTACCATGCTTAGCTCTAAATAGTCAATAAGTCTAGAGACCTCTCTAGAACTACTAAGCTGTCATCTTTTGTAGTACTAGTTCTCAGTGAACTCCATTCAAGTTATCAGTAATCACTGTTGTGCCTGCTACGTTTACAAATTGCCTGCTTTCCCTTTAACAAACTCACTAAGTCATCTGCTAATGAAAATAAACAGTAGGACACGTGTACTTCACTTTGTTAGAGTTACTTTTTTTAAATAGGTTATGTCATTTCTTTTAAGTCTACCCTAATTCCTTTCAACTGTGTCAAACAACAAATATTAATTAAGCAGTGATCAGACAAATCTCTCTAGTCCTGTGCTAATTTGTATAGCTATAGTATGATCAGACTTACAAGAAATTAAAAAAAAACAAACTTAAAAACTGCAAGGTTATCTGATTTCAACATCTTATTTCTTTTCTTTTCTTTTCTTTTTAAAGACATGAGGTCTTGCTATGTTGCCCAGGCTGATCTCAAACTTCTGGGCTCAAGCAATCCTCCTGCCTCAGCCTCCCAAAGTGCTGGGATTACAGGTGTGAGCCACCATGCTAGGCCAATATCTTCTTTCTTTTTTTCTTTTTTCTTTTGATTTGGTGTCTCACTCCATCACCCAGGCTGAAGTGCAGTGGCACGCTCACCGCTACCCCAGCATTGACCTGCTAGGCTCCGGCAATTCTTTTGCCTCAGCCTTCCAAGTAGCCAGAACTACAGGCGCACGCTACCACACCAGGTCACATTTTTTTGTTGTTGTTATAGAGATGAGGTCTCACCATATTGCCCAGGCTGGTGTCAAACCTGCAGGCTCAGGCAATCCTCTCACCAAGCCTTCCAAAGTGCTAGGATTACAGGCTTGAGCCACTGCACCAGGCATCTTCTTTCTTTTTTTTTTTTCCTTCTCACAGGTCTACACTTCTTTTTTTGCTACACAAGATATTTAGCCCTGCACATCACAAACAAGGCCTCAAAAAATTTGGTTACTGACTCATAACTTCCTCTCCACGGAAATCTTTAGTAAAAGGCAAAAGATGGCTGGGCTCAGTGGCTCAGCCTGTAATCCCAGTGCTTTGGGAGCCCAAGATGAGTGGACTGCCTGAGCCCGCGGGTTCAAGACCTGCCCGGGCAACTCAGCGAGACCTCGTCTCTACAAGAAATAAAAAATTAGCCGGGTATGGTAGCACATGCCTATAGTTCCAGCTACTTGGAAGGCTGAGGCAGAAGGATCACTGGAGCCCAGTAGGTCGAGGCTGCAGTGACTGGGAGTGTGCCACTACACTCCAGTCTGGGCGACGGAGTGAGACTCCATCTCAAAAAAAAAAAAAGGCAAAAGATTTATTCATTCCAAAGAGAAACCAGAGCATCATCTTATTTCTTAAATTGTTTTATAATATAAATCATATCAAACTTACACGTCAGACTGGTTTTGTTCATATAAAGCTTTCATCTCTTCCAGAACTTGTCTGAGTCCATCCTCCTAGAACATATAAACTGATATTGGTATATATTCACTAATTTTCCCCACCAGTTTTATGGCAATATTCTATCCATACTATTCTGCATGAAGGGAACCCAAGAAAGAATTTATTTATGAAAAACTTATTTTATTTTTATATTATTACATATTTCTTATTTTATTATCTTTATTTTACTTATAAAAAACTTATTACATTTTTAAACTTCAGTCACCTTCAAAGTACACTCCATGTGATGCAATACACCTATCAAGATACTTTTCCCACTGCTCAAAAAGAATTTCTGAACTGGTCAATTTTGATGCCTTTTAGTGCTTCTGCCATTTTTTGTTTCACCTCTTCCACACTGGCAACATGTTTCCCTTTGAGGACTTTTTTCATCGAGGAAACAAAAGAAAGTCACTCAGAGTGAGACTGACTGAACAGGGAAGGTGGGGCATGGGGGTCAATGCTGTTTTTGGTCAAAAACCGCTGAACACTCACACGGTGTGGGCAGGTGCGCTTGTAAATCACCCATCATGAAATGGGCAAATATGTTGTAAGAATCAAAAAAAAAAAAAAAATCAATGAAGCCAAGTGCAGTCTCTCTCAAAAACAATAGCTGGTACACTGATGCCAATGGGTTCCTAGAACGCCTACCTAGCAGGGTAAGCCTGTTCTCCAAAAGATAATTCTGGGGCTTTTTTGAGTACCCCCTCATAAAAGTCTTTTTTTTTTTTTTTTTTTTCTGAGTTCGAGTCTCCCTCTGTCACCCAGACTGTAGTGCAGTGGCACGCTCCCGGCCACCACAGCCTCGACCTGCTGGGCTCCGGCGATCCTTCCGCCTCAGCTTCCAAGTAGCTGGAACTACAGGTGCGTGCTACCATACCCCGCTAATGTTTTTTTTATTGTAGAGACGAGGTCTCGCCAAGTTGGCCAGGTGGGTCTCGAACCCGTGGGCTCAGACAATCCACTCGCCTCGGCCTCCAAAGTGCTGGGATTACAGGCTGAGCCTGGCCTAGTCTTTTTTTTTTTTTATACCTTATCAAAAAGAAATAGTCCCTTCACACCCTGCTAGGATGGTTATACAAACAAGTGTTGTAGAGGATGTAGAGAAATTGGAACCCTTACACATTACAGATAGGAATATAAAATGATACAACCCCGTGGTAAAAAATCTGACAGTTCCTTGAAAAACTTATACATAGAATTATCTTATGACAAAACAAATCCACTCCAAGAAAAACTAAAGAAAACTGAAAACACATTATACCAAAACTTGCTAAAAACAAGTATTTTTAACAATCTTATTCATAATAGCCAAAATGTGAAGAAAACCCAAATGTCCATTAACAGACAGGTGAGAAAAATCAAATGTGGCATATCCATTCAATGTGCGGCCATTCAACCATAAAAAGGGGGGAAGTACCGATACATGCTACAACATGGGTGAACCTTGAAGACATTAGGCTAAGTGAAAGATGCCAAACACAAAAGGATAACTACTGTATGATTCCACTTATTTGCAATATCTAGCATAAGCAAATTTAGAGACCAAAAGTAGATTAGAGGTTACCAGGAACTGTGGGAAAGGTGGAATGGGGAGTTACTGCTTAATGGTGACACAGTTTCCACTGAAAAAAGGCAATGAAAACGTTTTGGAAATGGGATAATGCACTTTGTTTTTTGAGTCAGAGGTCTCATTCTGTTGCCCAGGCTGAAGTGCAGTGGCATGATCACAGCTCACTGCAGCCTCAAACTCCTTGTCTCCATTCCACTCTCTGGCACCAAGCAGGCCGAAACAATGGGAACCTAAACTAAAGATCAGAGGTAAATCCCACATAAAACAATGTGAATGTAATTAATGCCACTGAAGTATACACTTAATTAAAATGGCGAATTTTATATTATGTATATTTTACCACAGTAAAAAAATAAGATAAAAACACAATAAAAAGGAGTGAACTACTGACAACATACACAACAAGGATAATCTCAAATACTGAGCAAAAAAACCAGACACAAGAGTACATTTGATATGATCCACCTGGCCCTAAACTAAAAAAGGTTACCAAGTCCTGGCACACTGAATTCAGAAGTTGTGTAAATATGCAAAACAGACAGATACATAAACAATACAAATATAACCTACAGTCAGAGAAAGCAAATTCATGGTTGCTGAAGATGACAGGTGGGAAGCAGCTACAAGGTGGACAAAGAAACCTGGTTACAGAAATCTTGATCAGTGTACTGGTTACAAAGATATATACATGTCAAAAATAAAACAAATCTATTAAATTGTGTATCTTGTACATAAATTATACTTCAGAAAAACCAATGACCAAAAAAAAAAAAAAAAAAAAAATCAATAGTCCTACAAAATCAATGAGTATAAAACATGTAAATAATTTATTAGATACTGCAAATGGTCTTAAAAGGTTAAAAAAAAAAAGGAATTTGTACTGCAAAAACAAAGGCCAAGGGAGTTTTTCTACTATGCACTTTGAGGCAAATTTTGCCTTTGTTAAAATAAAACATTAGAATTCTGAAATTCAGGTCAGGCACGGTGGCTCACGCCTATAATCCCAGCACTTTGGGAGGCCGAGATGAGAGGACTGCCTGAGCCCACGGGTTCCAGACCAACCTGGGCAACTTGGTGAGACCTCATCTCTACAATAAATCAAAAAATTAGCCAGGCGTGGTGGCACATGCCTGTAGTTCCAGCTACTTGGAAGGCTGAGGCAGAAGGATCACCTGAGTCCAGCAGGTTGAGGCTGTGGTGGCCGTGAGTGTGCCACTGCACTCTAGCCTGGCCGACAGAGTAAGCCTCCAACTAAAAAAAAAAAAAAAAATTCTAAAATTCTTTTTTTTTTTAAAGCAGGATTTAAAGTTCCAGTGGGAGGGGACCCGAGGAGGTTGCCAGAATTCTGAAATTCTTAAATATTGCACAATAGGACTGTCAACAATCCAAAGAGAAGCAATCCCTATCTATTTTTCCCAATGTATTCTTAGAGCCAGTATGTATGCATTAGCAAAAACGCTTTGAAAGCCGGGCTCAGTGGCTCAGCCTGTAATCCTGCGCCTTTGGGAGGCTGAGGTGAGTGGATTGCCTGAGCCTGCGGGTTCGAGACCCGCCTGGGCAGCAAGACCTCATCTCTACAATAAATCAAAAAAAATCAGTCGGGCGTGGTAGTGCATGCCTGTAATTCCGGGTACTTGGAAGGCTGAGGTGGAAGGATCGCCGGAGCCCAGCAGGCGAGGCTGCGGTGGCCGGGAGCAGCCACTGCACTCCAGTCTGGGTGACCGAGTGAGACTCCAACTCAAAAAAAAAAAAAAAATGCTTTGATATACTACTAGCATGAGTATAAAACTACCTACTTAGCCCTGCTCAAAGAATACATTAATAAATCCTGATGAAAAGTGTAAGCATGATTTCTACCTTCCCTTTCATCATCTGGTTTTAAAAAAAAAGAATCACAGAAAGATGTGATATATTAGAATTCAGTAAAATAGTCCTTTTATCAGCAAATGTTATTTTAAGGAATAGTTGAAACTTTCAATTAACAGAACTTCAGGTTTATAAAAGTCAAATATGAAATAATTTTGTTAAATATACACAAGCTTTCACATTTAGATTTTTGTCTACAGTGAGAATTACATTTGTTCTATGCCCCCACCTCAGGCTGTAAGCCATTGAGAAGTCAAGATAATTTTCTTAAAAATGCACCTTTTTGCCAGGCACTGTGGCTCAAGCCTGTAATCCCAGCACTTTGGGAGGCAGAGGTGAGAGGACTGCCTGAGCTCAGGGGTTCGAGACCAGCCTGGGCAACTTGGTAAGACTTCACCTCTATGATAAATCAAAAAATAAGCTGGGCGTGGTACTGTATGCCTGTATTTCCAACTACTTGGAAGGCTAAGGCAGAAGAAGGATTGCCTGAGCCCCGCAGGTCAAGGCTGCGGTGACCGTGAGCATGCCCCTGCACTCTAGCCTGGGTGACAGAGAGAGACTCCAATTCAAATAATAATAATAATAACGCACCTTTTGGCCGGTGCGCTAGCTCACGCCTATAATCCCAGCACTTTGGGAGGCCGAGGTGAGAGGATTGCCTGAGGCCACAGTTTTGAGATCAGCCTGCACAACTCCGCAAGACCTTGTCTCTACAATAAGTCAAAAAATTAGTCAGGCATGGTGGAGCACGCCTGTGGTTCCATCTATTTGGAAGGCTGAGGCAGAAGGATCACCTGAGCCCAGCTCAGGTCGAGGCTGCAGGGGCCGTGAGCGTGTCACTGCACTCCAGCCAGGACGACAGAGTGAGAGATTACAACTCAAAAAAAAAAAAAAAGGCTTTTGGAGTCAAGATCTCTGTAAATGAAGTGCAGTGGCACAATCATGGCTCACTGCAGCCTCAAACTCCTAGACTCAAGCCATCCTCCTGCCTCAGTCGCCCAAGGAGCTGGGGCTACAAGCAAGCACCACCACGGCTCAGCTGTTTTCTTTGATTTTTTTGTAGTGACCAGGTCTATGTTGCCCAGGCTGGTCTTGAACTTCTAGGCTCCAGCCATCCTCCTGCCTCGGCCTCCCAAAGTGCTGGAATTATAAAAGCCACCGTGCCAGGACAAAAATGTGCTTTTTAAGAAAAAAACTCACCAGTTCTGCACACAGATGCGATAATCACTTTTCAGTGCGCTGAGCATAGCACCTAGCTGTGTTTGATTCTGGAAGGAATATGGCAGACCCCTGCTCTAACCAGCCATCACCACCCGGTAGGAAAGGGTCTCACAGCCTCTGAGATCTGGAGAACACACACACACACGAAACCCGAATGAAGGAACACACACACACACACACACACACACACACGAAACCCGAATGAAGGACAACCAGGCTGGGGGTCAGGGCCGAGTCCTGGCTCCCCCCGGCCGGCTCTGCCTCGGTGGGCCTGCTCCACCTCACGGACGACGGGCTCTGGGTCCAGAGTTCTACGACCTCGTCAAGAGCTGCCGTTAGAGCCCAGGCACCTCTGCGACCCAGGCTCTCCACAGAGGCCCCCACGGCCGCCTGCTAACTTGGTTAACGAGGTGATTGCTCTTAAGTTGAAGCGGCAACACACTAGAATCTACCACACCTGCGTTAGCGGAGGCTCTGCCTCCAGGACGCAGTCAGTTCAGACAAGTCCGCTCATTTGGCCCAAAGTTTCTATGAGCTCTGCGCCCTCGTTTCAAAACAACCTGACAGACCAGGTGCCGCCCAAGACAAGCCTCAGCACCCCGCGGAGCTCCGCCCTCCCGAACCGCGGTCCACGTGGCGCCTGGCTCCTCCCTCGATCACCGCCCGCCCCTGTCCCTGGCCAGGAGAAGTCTGGTCGTCTTTGGGGCAGCGGGCCCGCAGCGGGGTCGTCCTGCTCTCCCCGGGTCCCCCGGCCCACCCTGCTTTCCTCTCCCTGCCTTCTCCGTCTTGCTGCCGTGGTCATCCTCGAATCACGAAAACCAGCCCGCTCCCCCGAAGCCCCGCCAGCTCCCACCACGCCCACCTCCTCCGGCCAGGGCCACCTCGTCCCCGCG